CACAAAGGTTTGTTTTTTTGTTCTTAATTCTTATAGTATTGCTGTGAAAAAGAAATATTCCTTGATACATAACAGGTAAAGAAATCCCAGATATCGATTAATGTGAATTTGAATTAGAGCAACTGAATTTAAAAAAACTGCTTTCTTAGAACCAGGAATCATTCCTGGTCTCAAATTTTTCTCTTCACATTTAAGTAAAAGGAAATTAGAATTGAAAAAGAGAAAATGCTAATCTTTAAATAAAAATTTCCTATAATTTCCTTCTTCTACTTGATTAAAGAATTTTTCTCTACTGTAGACTGTGGACATCTTAACTTTCAATTAACTTTCTAGCAACCATAGAAAGTTCATTATACATGAAAGCAAAGTGGTTTTCTTTCATGTTTCAGCTGAATTTTAATTACTATATTCTGTGTGTTTGGGGGAGATTGCATGATTACATTTTGCCTTGAGAAAGACATGACAAGGCCTAAAACAACAAATATAGTTTTAATCTTGTCATGTCCCTACTTAAAAACTCTAATTTTATATAGCATGAAAGTTAAATCATTAAGCCAGCAATCAAGACTCCTGCCCACACCGTGAGAACTAATTACAACCTATATCTTCCCAACCTCTTCTCCTTCCTTCTTCTACCCCAGCTAGACTGCTTATGGTCTGCTCAAATTCGGTGGAGAATTTCCTCAGGAGTCAAACTTTTACCTACGTCATTCTCTTTTCAGAATTCCCCTTTCTTCCTGCACCCAAATTTTAACATTTCTTCAAGGTCTTGCTCAGGTACCAGTCTCTATAAGAAACCTGCCTTAACCATGCTTATTATTTGGTGGTTGTCTGCTATAACTCTCCCCATTGAATGCACCTTTAACCCTTTAATAATTGTTTATTCTATTTCTATTTCCTTTTTAATCTTATACTTCATATCTGCCTTTTCAATCCTGAGTGCTAAAGAAGTTGTTAGAAAGATGAGTATCCAAATAGAAGTACATGGGCATTAAATTCAGATATGGCTAATTGGTATGAATTTTACCTCTCCCTTTTGCTAGCTAGTTGTGTGACCTTGTACCAGGCCAGAGATGCTGCTAAACATTCTGCAATGTACAGGACAACTCCCCACAACAACAAATTACCCAATCCAAAATGTTAATAGTCCTGAGGTTGAGAAACACTGTTCCAAATTCATCATCCCATAGATTCTGAAAAAGCAGCACAATATAGTCTAAAAAGCCTAGGATTAAGGAGTCCTGAGTTCTAGTTCCAGTTCTGTCAACAGCAAGCAGTGTGCTACAGGGCAAGTCAACCCTTTTAGACCTCTATTTATTTTTAATAAATTGCCATTTAACTTGTTCCTCTATCCCATGTTTCCTACAGTGCAAATTAGTTTTAGAGCTGTACTGTCAAATACAGTAGCCTCAAGTGTCTATTTAAGTTAAATAAAACTAAAAATTTATTTCTCATTTGCACAAGTCATGTTACAATTGTTCAGTAGCTACATATAGCTAGTGGCGACTGTACTGAACAATACAGATGTGGACCATTGTTATCACTGCAGAAATTTCTATTGGATAGTGCTGGTCTAGAGGCTTAGATTCAGGTTCAGGCCTTGATTTTTTTAATATTTAAAATGGAGATATTAAATTACATGATTTCTAAGGTAACTTTCAGTTCTCTAGTTCTGTGATTCTAATAAAGTCATCTATGTTAATTTTAAAAAATCTGTAAATGGGTGGCTAACAAATTTTGGTATCACCGATATTCTAATCAATATAATTATAATCAGGTGTTTGCATTAGCATGCCTGACACTGTAGGTTAGGCACCTCTGTGGTACCTATTGAAAGGTATAGACAAGACTTCTAGTTTCTGGTTTGGCATGTAAGAATCTTAAAAGTCATCACTCCGTTCTAACAAGTAAAAACCTGGAAAAACTAAACATGAGGTCATAGGGCAAAATGTTGCCCCTAAATCGTGAGACAGACAGGTGAATACAGAGAATCACAACCTACCAGAGCAGAAAACCTGAGCAGAATTCTCCATGAGAACCTGTACTGGGGTAGGAAAACCTGAAATGTAATTGGCAAATTGCTGGAGACTCAGTGGACAAGTCTGAGAGTTAAAAACTCCAGGGGCTTAGGGGCGGGCTGTCTCAGGCTTGGGGGAAGGCCTGCATTTTTGTTTTATTTTTATGAACTCAATCAGGTTCTCACAGTAAGTATCAGAGAAAAATCCCCTTATGCTTCCAGCAGGGGGAGGGGAAAAATTATTTTCAAATAACCAGAACATTCTCTTCCTTTTAACAAGGCTTGCTATGAAGAGAAACTATTTTACTAGAGCCTAAACCATTGGGGTTTTATCAGAGCCTAACTGATCTGAGGGAAGGAAAATACCCAACTCTAGCCCACTCTACTTATCCTGTCTCACCTAAGGGGGAAAAACTGTGAAGCACTTGTAATGTTACAGTTCATAGGCTCACTAAAAGACTGAGACCTAATCGTAGGACTCCCCTAGCACCTCACCACCACTTTACGAAAGCCCTATTTACTGTCGTTGCTTTTATCTAGTACAACATGTCTATCAAAAAATTACAGGGGAAAAAGAATTCCACTTAGAGGGGCAGTTTATGTAAAATCTCTGAGCTGGGAGTGTGCTTTGTGAATTTGAGGAGCAGCAAGGAAGCCCTGTGCCTGGAGTGGAATAAGGGCAGGCCAGAATAATAGAGAAATTAGAGAGGGAAGTGTGGGAGGAAAACACAGGTCCTTGCTGGCCATTTTAAGTGGGAGGGGGTTTAGCAGAGGAGTGACATCTTATTTTCTATGTTAAAAGATCACTCTGGTTGATGTGTTGAGAGTAATCCATGGGTGGGAAGAATGCAGAGGCACAGGCAGGGAGAAAAACCAGAAGTCTACAATAAGCCAGAAAAGATTTAGTGGTAACTCACATCAAGATGGTGGTGGTGGTGGTGGTGGTGGTATAGAAAAATAGATTCTGGATGTAGTATGAAGATATATCTGAAAGGATTAGACAGAATATGAGGTATATGCGATAGATGGTGAGGATCCTCCTTCAGTTCTTGGACTGACCATCTGGAAGCATGGCTTACTAATTACTAAAATGGGGGATTCTGTAGCAAAAGGAATTCCTCTCCCTCCTCCTGAAGTTTTTACAGACTAAGTTTCACATACCTGCTAGACAACCAAGGAGAGATGCTGAAAAGGCATAATTTGCAAACAACTACTCGAAATTATCCTCAACTCTGTCATCTGAGAATGAAAGTATCTATCAATAGTAAAAGAATAGGCATGGTTCTATTTCAACAAACTTTGTAACACTGGAACTTGAATTTCACTTAATTTTCACATACCATGAAATATTCTTATTTTAAGTTGTCAGCAAAACCTCAAATATTTACTACCTGGCTCTTTGTTAGTTTGCCGATTGCTGGTATATATGAAACAAGATAGGACATTAGTTGATAATTCTGGAAGATTAGTGATGGTTTCATTATATTAGTTTACTTTTTAATATGCTTGACATTTTTTCACCCATTTCTCCATTTTTTAACCCATTTCTCCATTTGTCCTGAGAATACTCGCTAGTGGTGCTTGTGGCTTCAGCGTTTACCTGAGATAACTCACGGATTACAGTCCTAATCTTAGCCCTAAGGTTTGCCACGAAATATCTCACTTTTATTATTTTTGCATCGCTCTAATATATCGATAGTCTTTGGAAACAAATGACATTATTCTATTTATAGAATTGTTTTTAGTAGTGGTATTTCCATTTACAAAATATAGTAATTCTCAATCGCTGAAAATGTCAAATCCTAGAAAATGTAGCATTCTTATGCGCGATATTAAATAAGATTCTTGAACACGTGTTAGATGAAGATTCATTTGATGAACCTGATTTATGTATACATTTCTGTTAACATTAGGATTAGAGATAATTTATGTTCAGAAATAACAACAAGAAGTTTTTATATTTTATTTTCACATAGTCAGATTTGGTTCAGCATCAAAGAGCATTTATGTAAAATTAAATGAATGCTGGCGGCACGCTGCACTTTTTTTTCTGAACAGGAAATTGTGTACCAAGGTAATTTTAGTCTTCCCTGCCCCCTTAAAAAAACCCTTAAAGTTGTTTATATCTCATAAATGTAGCCGTTTTGTTTAAAGTTGTTTATATCTCATAAATGTAGCCGGTTTGTGTAGCCTTAAAAGAGCAAAACCGGTTTAAAGCCTTTAGTACTGTTAAAATAAGCCCTTTGGACTTCACGCTCAGTGGGGAGGAAAGTAGGAGGCATAAACTCATTTAGGGAAAAGGATTTGAGGCGTTGTGTGGGGGCAGTTGTCTATTTTCACATTATTATATAATTACCAGGACCAATCCCCCTTCCATAACAAGAAATGAAAACAAAATACCTATTAGTTATCATGGTATGGTTTCCGCCCTCAGGTGACTCCCGGAAATGACGGTATTAGCCGAAGGCTACGTATGAGAGACCCCAGCGGTGCCAGGGGCGTTGACGTCAGCACGTCACCCGCATACCTCCGCCTCCCGCCCCCATACGTCTAGGCCTGGGGTGAGACTGGAGTCCCTTGGCTGGCCCCCGCCGTTTTCAGGAGTCGAGTCGACTGCGACTGCGCAGGTATGCTTGGGCGGGGCTTCAGATAGTCACGCCCCTTCTCAGCATGCTCGACCAATGAACAGTGACTGCCCCCCCGCCCCCGCCTCCCTCTCCACCCCTCCTTGTAGCTGCTGGGTGACACGGGGCCTTGGGGTTGGTAAGGGGGAGAGGGAAGCAAGTTAGATGTCGGACTGCGGTGTCAGCGCAACCCCCCCAACGTGAGCGCGGTGAGGGGGAGGGGGTCGGAGGTAAGAGGGGTCTGCGTGGCAGAAATGGGAGGGCCCCGGGTGCGAGATGATGAACGTGTCGTACGTAGAGTGTGGGGTGGCTCTGAGGGGGCGAGGTTGGCCCGGGTGTGTCTCGGTGCGGTCCCGCGGGGGTGGGTAGCGGGTCAGGAGACGCCGACCTTGCATTACCGCATTTCCAAAGCTTCTTAAGTTTGCCTCCTTTTCGGTTGTCTGGGATGCGAGGAGAAAATTTAAAGATCTCCCAGAACACTTGGAAGCTTTCTTGGGGTAGTTTCCTTGTGGGTGCGTGCGTGTTCCTTTCTTCCTGGATGGAGAGGTAGAGGCCAGGTGGACAGGTTGATTTTCACTCTCTGTAGATTGTAAAAATAAACAAACCAGGAATTCCTCACCCTCCGCCCCATGCCCTGCCCCACGACACAACGGCAAACATTCCCAGCAAGTTTAAGAAACAGACTAGAAAATTCTAAGGGGTTCTAAATGTCAGAAGTAAGTGTGCTTTTTCTTTTATGTTTATAGAAATTAGATGAGTGGGAACGTCGTGTTGCTGCTTATTATCTGGACGCCTTTTTAGTTATGTGTACTCTTTTGAATTTGCTCTAGAGGATTCTGACTTTATATTGTTGTGAAATATTGTGTTGGCCGTAATGTTTTCCTGAAACACAAGTTTCTATGAAATCTTATCTCTCAATGTAAAAGCTTAGCCTGCTGTATGTATGTGGGAAGGAAGTAGATAAATCTCTAGTTCTGATAAGTCTGAAAATTTTAGTATGACTTTTTCTAGCAAATATTTGCATATTTTTCTTTCACAGATTTATTTAATTGCCCAACTACCACTGATGAAGTTGGAGTAACTGCTGAAACCGAATTTTATTGACCAGAAGACAGTACGTTTGTATGACTTCTTTTCGTTTTCCCTACTGCTTTGAGCTGTACTGTAATGGCTGGAAAACTTGGAAAATAAAATGAACATGCTGTGGTCTTGAACATAATTTTCTTTTTTGAGGAAAAATTAAAGTGCCAGAGTGAAAGCCAGAATGGCATCCAGAGAGAGGCTCTTTGAACTTTGGATGCTTTATTGTACAAAGGTAACTGCTTTCTTTTTTATTTCTAAGTTTTAACATACTCATAAAATTTTGTGACCGGCCTATTACCACTTTATTTAATGTATAATAGGGTATTTATTGGTAGTCTACAGACACGGGATTTTCTGATTTTCACTTTTTCAGGTTTGAACACATGCACAGTATTGGCCTACTATTAAAAATTGGGTGTGGCTTTTATTGGATATTTGTCTTCAGTGATCTCAAAATTATATAAGTAAAATAATGACCTTAAAAGAAAAAATAAAATATTTTAATTTATCTTAATGCTTTTTTTCTCCCACAAGTGGGAAGATATATTTTTACAAGAAGGGCATTAAGTTTTTACTCATAATTAACCTTTTAAATTGTATACAAAGATTACTGATTATATAACAAGGTTATTGATTTCAGGTTGTTACTTTAAGCTTGCCATGATGTTAGCACCTTGTGAGTATTGTCTTATTTGATCCTCACAGCAATCCTGTGAGATGGGTATTGTAATTATCTGTTTTTACTGATGAAAAAACTGATGCAGAGGTTAAAGGGACTACTGAGTAGCAGAACCGAGCCTGGAACTCAGTACTGCCTGACTCAAGTCCATCCATTACTTGATATTTTTCGATTTGTCATTCAAAAATAATTTTCTCTCTTTGCCTTTGTGTGAATTATTACATGTTAGCTTTGACTTTAGGTTATTGGAGGAGAAAGGTACTGCTTAAAAACGTCTTTTTCAAGTGAGGGGGCTACATTACTGCTTTGAAGATATTGGCAAGGATCAGAGAAACAGCTTTAATCTACTAAAGTTACTTAAGTCTGTGTGGTGAAGTTCTTAAGTCTCAGCTTCCATTTCTGCATTATTCCTTTGGACTCCTTTTTTATACTTTCAGCTCTGCAAAGAACAAGTTATTTAACCAATGATCTCAGTTGCATATAATATTAAATTTTAGAGATCACACTGGAATTTTCTTTACTTTTCTGGTTTGGTATTTCTTACAATTACTGAAGGACATATACTCTGAAATGTTTAATATGGATTTTTAAAATAGCTTTTAGTCTTGTGTAATTTAATGCCAGAAATGTCTTTTATAAATAGGCTACTCTTTCGATAAAAAAAGGAATCCAATTCACCAGACACTTTTGACAATAGCCACTAACACACGTTAGCTAAAATTTAAATATAAATGCATAGTAGTTTGAAAAAGATTTATTTAAAAATACATCAAACTTACTAGGCTTTACTATTTTCTGAACGACAAAAGGCAAATGGGGTTACATTGTCTTATGTTGTTTCTAAGTTGAGTTCATGTTTAAGTGACACACGCTCCTTGAAAAGATATAGTTTGTTGGCATACAGAGAATTTTATTCTGAATGACGAAATATAAATGCGATTCCTTACTCTTCATGAAAATCTAAGTCATGAAAGCCCTTCACAGTCAAATTTTGAAGCCTATTCTTGAACAAGAAGATAAGTTCCATTTTTATGTTTAAGATTTAAATCATGTGTACACTTAATAAGATGAAAAGTTTTTTCACCTTTTTTAAAAAATTGTTACTTAAAGTGATTTTGTTTCACCAGTTCATGAGTAAGCTACTTTAGAGCTAGACAACTTTCTTTCCTGCAAACACCTTTATTTCAAGTAGCTTTCAAATATACATCATAGATTTAATACTTCTGCTCCCTAGTGAGGATGATTACCCAATAGCCAGTTTTTCATAATTTCTCTCTAGCTTTATTGCTCTCGCTGTAGCATATAGCCTTCAGCCACCCGACCTTTTTTTACCACCTAATTTTTGAGACCCTTTTTTTACACCTTTGTTAGGTTTTATACTACTTCAGGACTGCTCAGATCTTTTAACTTAATTAGCTCCAAATCGGACCTGTTTCTGGGCTTGTAGTTGTAGAGTCTAGTTTTGGTTTTACTGCTGTTTGTTTTGTAACCTTGAGCAAGACTTACCTCTTTGGGTCTCAGTTTTCTCGTTTGTCAAGTAGTAATAGTGTATGTGGACAGGAAGAATGGCTTGTTTAACTCACCATTAAGATTTTCATTTGTTTTGAATTCTGAGGGACATTGAATTTTTTTGTCCTTATTCTGTTGATTATCATTCAGAACTTTTTAGTTCATCTTTTTTTTCAAGATTTTATTAAGGAAAATTTCAAGGACGTACAAATAGAGAAGATACTTTAGTGAACCCTTTTGTATCTGTCACCTTCCTTCAATAATTATCAGTTTGTGTTCAATAATGTTTCATCTCTAATCCTCCACTACCCCTGTCTTATCCGTGAATTATTTTAAAGCAAATCCCAGGCAACATATAATCTTATTCATAAATATTTAAAATTATATCTATAAAATAACTCCTTCTAATCCTCCACTACCCCTGTCTTATCCGTGAATTTTTAAAGCACAAATCCCAGAACATATAATCTTATTCATAAATATTTAAAATTATATCTATATAAAAAATCTTCTTAAAAATATAATCACAATATGATACTTCTTTAAATCATCAAATATTTGGTCAGTGTTCAAACTTTCCTGGTAGTATCTTAAATGTTTTTATTTTTCTGCTGTTTGACTCAGTATTTAAACAAAGTATAAAATTGTATTTTGTTGAAATGTTAAATCTTTAATCTATAGGTTCCCACTCACCTCACTTTTTATTCCTTCTATTTGTTGAAGAAGCCAGGTTTTGACATAAGAGTTTTTCTCAGTCTGAGTTTTGCTGGTTGAATTCCCTCGATTTAAATTATTTTTTCTTCTTTACTGATACTTGCAAATTGGAAGATCTAGAGGCTTGCTTGATTCATATTCTGTTTGGTGAGTGAGGCTAGAATGATTTGGCTAGAATGATTCGACCATCAGTGAGTTTTGCCTATATGCATTAATTATTTCATTAGGAGTTTGCAAAACTGTGATATCCAATCCTATCATTTCTTTATTAGTTGAACATACATAGAGAAATGTTCCCTCATCAATTATGTGATGACAGTTCCTTAAAGGGAAGGAAGAAATGTTTGATTTTCCTCTCTCGGTTTTTAGAATGAATTGATTTACTAGCATCCTTCCAAGGTGACCAGTTATTTTTCTTGAGTATCAAGATCATCTTTAATGATTAAAATTTAAACACTGCTTACTATTTTGCTATTATGCTATCCATACCAAATGTTGTATGCATACCTGATTAAAGAAGATGACTGAAGAATTTTGAAGTTCTGTTTCAGAGTATTAAGATTAAGGTATTCTCTTATTTGCCACAGTGCCTACCTTCGCACAGGTGTTCTACAGTGGTTTAGCAATAAATCAATATTAAAATACCTCATAGTGTTTTTATGTAATGTGATGTTTTAAAAGTTGCCATTGAGAATTATAAAAGTTTAGTAGGTGTTTAAATAGGACTATATTGGAAATAACCCTTGAGTAATAAATACTGTTCTGTAAAGGAATACTAAGAGCATATATAGATTTCTCTTCTACCTATTAGTCTGCGATCAGTTGCAAGCCTAAAAGTTAGTGATTAAAGTCCTTTAAGTAGAATTAAGATAAATTACTGGTTCCAGTTTTTAGCAGATGGGTCCCCACATATTAAACTCGAGATTTGAAAAGAATTTGGGTAAAAAAAATCTTCACAGTTTGTTTTTCTAACCAAACTATTTAGGTCTAACTTTTCACATTCTCCTGGTAGGTATGGGATTTAATTGCATTGTTAGAAACATTCATCTTATAGTAGGTTAACTATTTGTTAACCCCACCTAGTTATTACATATTATAGGCAGGATAATTTCTCATCACTCAATATCCTTTCTCTGTAGATTCTGTCACCAGTGTATAAGACTACTAATTCCAATTATGTCACCTGAAATTACTTTGTCTCCAAATATTCATGCCCACCCAGGGTCAAGGATTTCATTAACAGTGCATTCCATATAGCTCTTATAAGTTAAACATTAACTTGTACAAGTTTAATCTTGTATTGAGTTTAGTTCAGTAGTTAACTACTACTGCTTGTCTGAACATATTTTTCTCAAGTATAGAAGACAAATTGACTTACTTTTTAATATCTAAAGATTTTAGTTTATATTAGCTCTTAGGCACCCGTTATTCCTTATATCTTTTGATGTTTCGTCAGTGTGCTTGTAAGAGAGACAGTGTTGAGAACAATTTTGGTCTCTACATTATCATACAACTTTTTGGAAATCATATAATGCATAGAACAAGACATATGTATCATAAAGTCCCTATCTTAGCTGCTCTCTTTAGATAGAAATAAAGGTGTATTTCTGTTTGTCATTTAGCCTTTTGGGAGTGCTACAGTTGGTCACCACAATATGCAGAAGAGAAACTGAGCCTATGAGAGGCTTATCAAATTCTTTGATAAGATTGTTATTTTTGTTCTGTCTAGTGGAAAGTATCAAATGCGTTAACTCTGTAAAAGGATACAAAGTGACTCAAAAGCACGACATTTTGAAATGTGCGTTAAAGTTCATGGTTCATTTTTGTCATTAGCTGGTTTATTTTGGGGGAAATTCATTTTACACTAAAAAAACTTGTGGAGCTACAGAATTAGAGCCAAGATTAGTCTACATCTGCTTCTGATCTTAAGGACCTGAAAACAGTTTATCTTATTTCTTTATATTTTAGTTTTCTCATCTGTCAAATGGAAAAAATAACTATTTTGCATATTTCTCAAAGTCACTGAGAAAAAAATGAATTGATTTTATATAAATGCATCATAAGGGTAAGAAATATAAAAATGTAGTCTTTAAATGTAATTATTAGTATTTAAAAAATACATATATGAGTTCCAGAGTATATCATGATTGTTTTCATTTTGCCTTTATATTGTATAATGATAGAGGACAATATGTTTTTGTCTTTTGTCAGTAGAGATGATGCTGTGCTTATGAAAGTCTTAATTTTTAATCTATTTTTGCTTTAATTAAAATTATTTTTGCTATAATTAAAGCATAGAATTTAATTATACTAACAATGATTTGAGATTT